CAAAATCAACAGGTAGTTCAGAAAATAGTTATAATAGTCGGATATTTATTTTGTTAAAAATACAATCTGTTATTACTGAAAAATTTCCGCTGAATTCATTGTTGTTTTTAATAATTTAAATACATTTTTTTTTAAATATGTTAACTCAGAAATAATAATAATCATCAGAATTTTCATGTACTTTCAGATATAAATAATATACATATGATGATTAATAATGTTCGATTGTTTTCTCATAATTAATCATTGCTACTTCATTCCACTTTTTTTTTCTCAAAATTTTTATTTTTAATAAATCCAGCAAAATAATATGTTTTTATATTATATGAAAAAGTATCTTTATTTTGTTGAAAATTTCACCTGGTTTATTTTGATGACTTTTTATTGCTCTATCTATCTGTCCGAATCACTCCATTAAAGAAGATTTTTTAATAAATTTTATATTATTAATCTTTGTATTTTAAAAGATATAATAAAAATAAGTCTCCGATTACAAAAGTAAAACGGATTTACAAAAAGAAACGTAAAAGTATGTAATCGTGCGCTTTCTCATATATAGACGAGGCAGCTCTAAGAGTTTACGTTTTATAAATAACTATTTTACGATAGCGAACGCAAGTTCGTTGACCCTGACATTTCCATCTAAATGTCAGTAACTTCCACGTTACTTATTTAAAGGAATAAGTTTGAAACAAGAAAGGAAATATGGAATAGGATAGTCATTTATTTTTTTTTATAGATGGATTTATCTAATATATACATGCTTAACGACACAGATCTAAGTAAAAAGATATAAAAGGGTTGAAAATTGCTAAATCCTTGTGAGGAGAAATGTTTAAAGTGAGCATTGATTAATATAAAAATAAGCTAATATACACAGAAGATGATTGTACATTATTTGTATACTTGGTTCTTCGGACCAAAGAGAATTAGATAATAAATAAGGAATTAAAAGAATGTGGTCAAATGTTAATTTTTTTTAATTTCAAATTATAATGTTTGCATTTTGTTCTATAAAGATGTTTCTGCAGAGTGTCCCGGGCGTAGAGGGGAATATTTGAAGGCGTGATAGCAAAACCTAAGAGCTACAAAAAAATTGATAAAATAATGGTCCGATTTTCGTTAGAAAAGTAAAAAATTTAAGTTTTGTGTTTTTTTTACATAGGTCATATTTTTGTGGAATAGGAAGCGATAAAAAACATTACTTAATTGAGGCAAATAGCAATTACCTCAAAATACTAGATAAAATTTACTGTACATCCAACTACAGTATACCAGGCTTTGTTGTGCATAAATTAATTGATTGTTGGCGATTTTTTTTTTATAACCCTTCAACTATACTGGATAATATGTAAATACATTATAAGATAGATAAGAAGAATTACCATCATCTGTTATGGAAGATACGTGTAAGAGTTTAATTATATATAAGAAAAAATATTAGTGATAATTAAAAACAAATAATAATGTATTGAGTGACGTCGATCGTAGTAAATTCATGTAATATCCCTAGCAAAGAACCATATTATTATTTATTTATCCTCTACCCCTAAGGGTCATTGGCTTATTCTCTCCATATTATACTCTTTGATAAAAATCTATATGTTTTTAACATTTTAACAGTTTTCTTATTTCTGTTTCTTCACCTTGCAGGATTTCTTTCATTTCCGTTCCCACATGTATATTTTCCCTTATATCAGTGTACCTACTACATTCTAACAATATATACTTCACTGTTCTCAGTACTTGGCAATCTGTTCAAGTTGGGGCTTCTAATCCTCGCAGGAGGTATCCATGGGAAAGCTCACAGAGCGGTGTTATCATATGATGATATGAAATACATGTATAATTTTTAAGTTTATTTATTATCAGCCAATTTTTAAAATTTTGTCAACTTAATGACATCACATCTAATTACGACGTTTCGACTCGTTAAATAAACTTGAAAATAAATAGTATGTAGTAAAGAAGAAGTGGAGAAATATTGTAAATACATGTACAATAGTTTTCAATAGTAAGCTGGTTTCTAGTTGTTCTTGGAATAGGAATTAGAATAAGAGGTTTTTGAATGAGGCATCCAGACAGCAAAGGAGGAATAAGGCAGATCTGTGAGAAGGGATGTATAGGTCAGAAGGTCGAGATCTAGTTGTAAGGAAATGGACTGAGGACTTGAATTGAAGAAGGTTCTAGGCATAAAAAGGCGATGATTGTTGATGATAAAGGAATGCGCCTAGGGAATATTGTCTTCTTAAGGATAAAATATTATCATACAGTAAATATTAAAATCTGTTGCATAAGTAACATCTATAAAATGAAATGAAGTAAAATTCTAAAGATAAAATCTAAGCAACACTAGCGGATCCAGGATTTGATTTTGGAGGGTTGTTTTTTTTTGGAAAAATTAAAAAAATATTTTTCTATTTTGGGTGAAGGCTTCAGCCCGAAACCTCCCCGCGTAGATCAACCAGTGGTTCTCAATGATATAAATGTTATTTAAAAAGTAATTTCAAAGTCTGCTATAAGACTCGCTTTTTAATAGATTAATTACTTACAAAGTAGATTTCGATCGGAAATATTCTCGGAGAAGTTTTAATCAACGGAGGAATTTAATAAAACCTCTTTGGGGAAGAATTCCCATTATGCAGAAAACCCTCCAAGTCCCAAAGCCTATGAATGTTAGGGGAGAGATTTTTCATTAGTCTTTATCCACTAAATGTCACGCAAGTGCGGATGATTGGACCTTTAACAACAGTAGCTGGATCATCACCCACGTAACGCTGAAATGCAATAAGGTTTAATTATCTCAGCTTTCGATGAAGTCGTTAGGTTAATTAGTGAAGTTTGAGTTGTTAAAACTATTAATAGCCAGCTGGCAACAAGATGAGAATGGCTGCTCACAAAAGGGACCTCCAGTCGCCCCACAGCGGGTTCAGCCCCGGCGGAATGCTTGTTTACTCTTACCTCTTTCAGCTAGCTCCCTCCCTCTTATAAGGGTTATAAATGGAAATTCCAGCTCGCTACTCAGAATCCTGAATTACCTTTTTTATTCATTCATGAGGATATTCGGAGCTTGAAATTTTCCGAATCTCTCTTCGAAGGATATTACAGACGAATAAACAATATCTGAGTCTTCTTCATTGTATTAATAAGACCATGCAATGATTATATCTCTCTATTTTATGAAAAAGTTTTAAATGACTTTCATATTTTATTTTATTTTAGAATAAGGTGGGTAGGAAATTACGGGAGCTCTCTTAATTAGCACTAATCATACAGCTGTTCATTTAGTTACATATGTGTTGAGTCCCTGTAACTTTCTACTCTCCCAATACAAAATAAAGATTTTAGACCAAAAATTTGTGAATAATAATAATAATTATATAATAATATAAATTGGCAATAAGACGCGACATATAATATACTATTTTAAAGAAATTAAAAATTTATCCGAACTGTGTTTCGTTCAGTTTAATTTATGGTTATAAAAAAATAATACAATCTGAACTGCAGAATACATGTAAATTACAGTTATACAATTTTGGCAACGAGTAATACAATTAAAAGAACAGTTGTACAATTTGCAAAAGGGGAGTGGGTCCGCCGTGTGGCGGAAAGAGGATACTCCCCTTCCTCCCCCCTAGTAAGATTATAAATTATAAATAAGCGTATTCGAAATATACGATTTTTAATAATTTAATATACCTAGGACTCCACCTGGACAAACGTCTAACTTGGAATCCTCATACCAGACTGAAACGACAAGAAACCGCTTGACGTTTCCGACTACTCCAGCATTTACAAGACAAACGCTTTAACTTTTAATTAATTACAAAAGACTCATATACGTGACCATAATAAGACCTAGTTGTATATTGGTAGCTTGTTTCGTAAGTTAAGTGAGGATCTGTAGTCCAGAAGATATGAGAGTTGATCATATCGTCTAGTCAGTTCTTGTCTTTTTAATTTAGTATGTATGTTCCAGGTAAGCCTTTTGTCTAAGTAGAGTCCGAAGTACCGTACATAGTGTTTTGAAGGCACTGAGTTATTGTCAATCGTTATGGGTAAACATGAGGCTTTTCTAAGAGAGAAACTAACGTGGGTGGATTTATTACTATTTATTTTGATTTGCCATTTTGCAAACAATTTTGAACTCATTATGGCCTATATGGGTTGCCGCTTAGGGCATCCACTTGTCATGATCCGCCTGGGGATGTAAGACGAAGTCGTGGGATGGTGTACTAGAAATTAGGGCGTCATGTGGGTTGAAGGCGCCCAGGACGAAATTATATCTAGCTCCTCCTCACACTCTTCCAAATCGGGCAATAGCATATATATTATATGGACAGTAGCGTAACTAAGTATTACTGCGTCCCAATGCAAGAAATTTTTCCTGTGCATTCTTCCTCCCATAAGAAAAGATAACTAACTTTATTCTTCCCTTGCGATATTTTTAAAACTCCTTTTTAAGCATTCTAAAACGATAATTTATTTTTAAATATTTAGCAGTATTTCTCTTCATCCACTGCATCGCAATATGTCGCATTGGTTGTCTTATCAACACCACAGCAAGTGCGAATTTACTTATTATATGAATGCACTTTCACAAATGACCAACAAAATTCGGACTTTCAGGCCGCTGGTCATTTTTATAATAGCGAGAAATAATAATTTCTACTTTACGACTTACCGGGAGTGAAGATCTAAACAAAGATGAAAAAGAATGTATCAAAGTGAAATGCACCATTTTGAAGATTATTATATGGTCTTTAAATTATTACCTCATCTCTAACCACGAAAGCACTATAATTGGTAAGAGACAGCTTGTGAGACCGTCCAAACTAGACAAATGGAGTAGGCTTGGTAAAGAGGCTTGAAAGTCTTTTATATTAAGAAGAAAGGTCACGATAGAATAATTATTTAAAACAGCATGTATAAAAGCAGAAAACAAACCCTTGTTGATCCATTATCAATCTCCGAAAAGGCAGTTGCTCCCCAGCTCCTTAGCAGTCCTGGACCGAATCGATAGCGACGGGAGGGGGGCGGTGACCGGAGACTCTAATAGTGTTTTCATTACCCTTCAGCGGTATGTAGGCCCTCAAATGGGAAAGTCCTTGTTTTACAAGGGGTGGAATTTGCATATCATTTACAAGATCCAGTGGTTGAAGAACATTTATCTATTAACGATAACCGAAATGTAGCATCTTAAAAACATTTCTATTGCAATAAAGATAACATAAGAAAAAAAATATTCGATTTAATATTTTTGCCTCTCCCCTAAGAGTTCGAGAATCCTGCGATAAAGAAGTGTTGGGACGGCAAGTAATGAGCTGTCAATTTCAATTTACCAACGGCCTCTGCTTTTCAGTTTAGCCCTTTGAATGATCTGTTCCACCAATTATCAAACATTTTATCAATATAGTTTCAATACAACAAAAGAAACGTATTTCTGTAACAAATCTTGGATGTTCCATTACTAAATTATTGTATATTCCAATGTAGTAGATATCCCCCAGTATTTACTCCTATATGTGGCATTGTCTGAGTGAATGAGAAGAAATATATATAGGAATGTGAGGTTGCACGATAAATTGTACTCAATTATGCAGTGGAAAAATTATTATTGAAAAGTATCATATCGATAAACAATCGATGAAGAGGGATGAAGAATAAGGACCGAGTAGGTAGCAACAGTTGGAGGAGGACGACGGAGAAGAGAGAAGAACTCACTTGAGGCTGGGACATTAAGGAAGGAGATTAACTGAGAAGAGAAGTCTACTACACTAAAGATTAAGAAGATCAAGCCTATAGTTATAACACTTTAATAAAGTCAATTTATTACAGTTGTAGAAATAAATTATAAATTATTTCACAGCAGTGAAAAGTCATTTATTTATTTAGTTGTCTTATATGCCTCACAATTGAAGAATAACAAACGAGGTGAGTCAATTCATTCAAAGTGTGTTTACTCCCACATTTCATATATATATATATATATATATATATATATATATATATATATATATATATATATATATATATATATATATATATTGTTTCTTCTCACTCAGTGTCACAAAAGTATTAGGTTCCCGAATTCCCAATGACAGTTAAACACCCTCAAAAAGTCAATCCAGTGAAGGGGTTTTGTTTTAATATTCACCAGTGTAAATAACCTAGCCCTCTGACAAAACGGAAAGGAAGGAATATTAAAAATTGCCCAACAAAAAGGTCATTTACAATTAAACCTTCAACGGGTTATTTATACCGACCAAAACGTATCTTAATTTCATGAATTCTTCGATAAAACATCGGGTCTAACAGTGCCCCATCTTCTTAGGATATTCCTATAAGGCTGAATAAATAGATTCAATATTAGTGGGACAGGTTTGTAGGGAGTGTAATGGAAAGCAAATATAAATATGGAAAGTAAAATACTTGCGTACGTACTTCTAGGCCTTTGCTTATCCATCTAGTCGACTTTTCCTATTTTCTTCATTGATTTTAGTTTTACATATTTTATTCATCTATGTAGACTAAATTTTATTAATTTTTATTTGTTTTTCTTCAAGATATTGTGAGGACGAAACGATAATCTTTCCCCCTCTCTATTTTTATTTGAGGGAGGGAGATCGCTCCCCTCGTCCCCTCTGGTAAATAACTAGCCATTTTCTATTTCCATTTCAACAATAAGTTCCAGATTTTTTTTTTTTATGGCCGACTTATCTATGTCTGAAAATTCTAAAAACCAGTGGATCATCAGCAAAAGTCGAAACATTTCTAAACCTAACATAATGGAAAATATCTATGCGATTTCTCTTATTGTGAAAACTTTGTAGTTACTTGGTTATTGTCACGACACGAAATTAAACGATTTTGTCATGAATAAAAATTCATTAGGTTTAGGTAGAATAAACTGCAGAATCGTATCCATAATATTTTTTTTGAGTCATTACTATACTATGCCTAAAAAAATAACCGAGTCTTATACAGAATACCGGCAATACTGGTTAAATTGTTCAATTTTAACAATAGTAGAAAACAACAACATATATTTACATTAGAGGCTTGGAATCTATTATGGCTTTCCAAATCCACCGCCACATAAACGACCCATACTGGTCCTATATTCTCTTTTGTTAATCATTTTAGTAAGAACGCAGTTACCTTCTGTGGTATTAGTGTGAGCTCCTGTTTCGGGATCACGGAAGTTCTGCTTATAGTTCACGGTCTGGTGTTTAAATCTGCAACCAGAAAGTATACCCAAATAGTTTGGCTTCTCCAACAGTAAAAAAAAATGAGGATTCCTGTCCTAACACATTTTTTTTTTCTGTTGGCATTACAGACCATGTATATTTTTTGCCGCCTTAACAAGCCTGCCCCATCTCTGCCTGCCTTGGGTTATTTATTTCCATTTGTCACACTTTTTAATCAAGCTAATTAAGGTTGCTTCAGTTCTGTCGGGGAGTGCATAAATAAAATACTCATTTTTTTCTTCTTTTTTTTTTTAATAAAAAAAACACAGGTTACGCACTCTTAAGCCAGGTCAAGCATTCTTAAACCAGGTTAATCACTGGTATTATCCATAACATCCAAACAGGCTCATAAATGTCATAATAATATAATAGGGAAACGGAAAATATAACAGGGAAATGGCTTCTTCGTTTTAAAGAAGGTATATAACATTCCCTAATAATGACGAAAAGCATTAAGTTTATCGAATGCAATTTAATGGCTACGGGCGTATTGCACTATCTATCTCTAGTTTTTACTACCCAGACGATAATGACCCTCTATCTGCTCATAATTGTGAATTTTAGGACCCAGTGCAATCATTCTGAACTCTCACAAACAGTGCTGGGTGCAGTATAATTTTTAATATGTTTCATTGAGAAATTTAATAGCCGACACTGTGCCTAATCGGTGCTCTCAAATTCGTTTACGATATATTATACAAGAAGCAGTGAAGAAAAACATAATTGTGTTCGCTAATTAATCCTTTTTTTTTTACTGAGAGAACTTACAATCGGCTGATATTCTTCCGCTACGCCACATCTTATAACCTGGAGCACCTAAACATATTCATGACATTTATTTTCATTTTCATGTATTTCTCTAAAATAAAATTCTTAATTAATAATGCAATAAAATCTCTTTCATATTCCATTTACTAGAGGGTTAAATCCATTGCCTATTTGTTGTTAATAAGGTTATGATGTTACATACATATATACATATAGGTTTTTCAATTAAACTATGCATGCTCTAGTGATTTAAGCTATTTTTTATGATTATATACATACCTTCGGTACCATTAGAAAATTCACGATTTAAACTGGTATGTAAAGGGATAACTTAGTGGGTGCGAAATTCAGTGGAACCTTAAACATAATTAGATCATTATTTTTCTTTCTTTTCGAAATCATTAAAATATTTTTTAAAACAGGTAATTTGGATTTATTTTTATCAGGATTTATGTTGAATGAAAATGTTTATTTCTTCTTGTTATATCTCTTCTTGGGAAGTATTTTGTTAAACAGTTGAGATTGCCAATTATAATTTCCTTGTGATTTGAATATTTTTTTATTTATTACATTGTTTTACGTTTAGGGAAATGCATTTGCAACACATAAGACAAATGTTGGCTCGGAATATGTTTAACTATAAAAACTCATACTTCCTCTATCTCGAGTAGTTAAAGTAACTACAACGTAATTCATATCAGTATCATAATCTTTGAAAAAAAATTTATAATTGAATAAAGGAGAAAAAAGGAAACATGTTTGCTTAGGTCGAATATGAATCTCTGGAATCGTTGGAAAGCTGAGAATTTTAGAGAGAAAAAAAAACAATACCTAATATAGAAAGTCGTAGAAGGTAATAGGGAATGACGTAAAAATTATAAATAATAATATCAGAGTTGGCGGTACCGGTAACGTCATAAGATTGTTGTTTCCCTATCTCGTCTTTAGACTATACGGGGTTTTCCTGGGTCAAGGAGTAAGGGCGGGGAATTTAAAAGACCGCCAAGCACCGGGATGCGAACTCCTAATTTTATTGTCTCCAAACTTTGGTTATCAGGTTGACAGGCAACGCGTTATGCTGTGCAAACACGCTAGTTAGCCCGTTCGGCAACCCCGCCCCACTGGGTTCTTTTTTTTTTTTAATTTATTTATTTTTTATCTTTCTTAGTAGTCCTATCACCACCTAAATTGACTTTAACTTAACCAAGTCTAAGTGAAAAAAAATACATATATACTTAAAACGAAATTCCACTGCAACCGCGGTATATATATATATATATATATATAGATAGATATATATAGATATATATATAGCGGTATAATACTATACCCTGCTTGTCAACTGAATACACAAATGATAAATTATTCTCAACAATTAATCAATTTTTATCAAGTATACTGTATCTCAAAATACAAATGTTGTAAAATAATAAATATTGATACTCAATAACCTTTGTAATTTTCTAAATGAACATATTCTAACTGTTGCTCGTTTTTATTTTATTATGTTATATTAAAAATAAAAATAAATGATACAAATTGTTGCTTTCGGACAGACGTGACTAACTAAATTCAGGTTTATTAGTATTCTTTACTCAAACTTGCTTCACATTTAAGCTCTAGCTTATATGGAAGTCACTTTCATCTACTGACTTAATTAACGGGCGTTATAATTTCTCCATATACCGTCGAGTAATGCCTGCAAAAGGATTCATAAAATATTTTATGGCTTCAAATGAACTTCTACTTAAGGCCTGCTAGAATGAGTAAAATACTTCAACAGCATATGAAATCATGGTATTTTCAAATTCGTAGTTTCACTTTATTTACTTCTTAAAAGCCTTTTGTTGTTTTTTCTCTGTCATCGATTTCAACTAAATAATTTTAAGGAGAAGCCAAATTAAAAAAAAAAAAAAAACTGTTTCTTTTTGGTTAACTGATTGACGAGTCGCCAAAAACAAATATGAAAAAATAAAATCTCACATACGGTTGTTTAAAATATACACACTGGTACCAATAATCGTAAATAAATTACTACTTATTAGGTAAGGACAATTTTGATTTATTTATTTGATTGTATTTTAGGTGCCGTGCGCAGCTTTATAGGTAAGAGGCACCATATTGATTATTGAATTACATTTCAATATGTCTTATGTATGTAAAATTGTAGATGTGTATGTTGTTAGGATATTTGTTTAAAGAACGTGTTGTTACAACTGAATAGGTTATTTCTGATTTACGATGTGAGTTCGTTTATGACGATGGTACTGTTTAAATATGTCTGTAGTAATTGTGTTTTTTTCAGAAATTGAAGTAAGTGCTTCTGATTTTCAGGTTGTATGTAGGGCTTGTCGATATCCTAGCAGCTGATAAGAGGTCCTTGATGAATCCAAGCTCGGACAATTTTCCAAAATGTGTACCATTGTCAAAGCTGCATCGCAGCTGCGACATCTTGGTGGCGAACTACAGTCGAGTAGGTGCCCATGCGTGAGCCTGGTGTGCCCTATTCTGAGGCGTGTGAGAATAGTTTGCTCCCGTCGGTTTTTTTTTTGCATCTGTGGAAGTGGATTCATGTGATTAAACATGCTTTTCATTTTGTTGGTGACAGGAACCTTTGTCCAACAATATCGCCAATCCTCTCTACGCTGGTTCAGGATTGAGTTACTGAAATCGTAGAGCGATATGTTAGTGTCTCGTGCTGGAAGTATGATGGATGCTTCTTTTGCGGCTCTATCAGCCAGTTCATTGCCTAGTCTTCCTATATGACTGGGGACCCACAGAAAGTTTGTAGGTTTCTTTGTAATTTGTGTAATTTGGAAGACAATGGAGTTGTTACATAATTGAAAGTTTTCTATTAGCTGGAGGGCTGAGTAGAAATCACTAAGAATTAAAACATGGTCATTGTTAATTTCGTTGAGTATTGATTGAGAATTGATAGGACTGAATAAATGGAGGGTAAATAATGGGAAAATGTTTAAAAATTGACTCATCTTTGTAGATTCATCAATACAATTAGCAAATTATCTAGTACCATTTCAAATTAATTTAATTACTACTTGTATGTGGCTAAAGCTGTGGATTTAATCCCAGTGACGCGGTTGAGAGAGTATTGCAGAGATCTCCTGGAGTCCTACTTTTCCCTCCATAGTTGCAGGGACAAGCCTGGCTCGGACCTCGCCTGATAGTAAATAGTGTAATAAGTATGTATGCGGTTTTTTATTATTTACTTATCTTTATGTTATTTTATTTTTATTTATTGTATATACTTTTTTATTATTATTTAGTTGTTATTTTACTTCTCTTTATTTGATATTTTTATGCATAAATAGTGTGAACGTGGTCTTACCTCACTATAATTATTGTCAAAAAGACAGGATGCTATATTAATCAATAAATAATTGTATAATGACCAAGAGTAGCGGATCCAGGATTTACTATTGTGGGATTGTTTTATTTGGGTTTCTTTTAGTGATTACTCTGGAATAAAAATTAAAGAAATTTAAAGCTTGAAATAAAAACTGTGTACAGGAACAATAATGTTGGTAAGGATATATTTTTTCTTGACCCGATTATTTGAGTATTTAGCTTGGATCAATTACAGATACCAAATAAACCAATAAAAAGAATAAGATTTCAATTTTATAGTTAACACTCCGTTAATCCACCACCTACGACAATTGATTTTTAATAGTTTGAAATATGAAATAATTAGATAATTAATTTATTGCAATTTCTCACATAAACAGCCACGGCCATACAAATTGCATCATGGAGTAAACATTTTATTAAATTTCATTATATTTACCAGATTGCTACTGCAAGATCTCCGAATATTTCTTTGCTATTTTGAAACTATATTCTAAAAACAATCGCTCCATTAGGCGGTTAAATTGACTACCGGCAATTAGTGACTCCCTTTTATCGTTACTATTTCCCATGAAAATTCCTTCACTTTATATAACGTCACAATTTTAAGATTTTTCGAAGATGACAGATTTTGATACAGGTCATAAATACAGCTTTTATCACGACATTAGTTAAAACTGAACTGAGAAACATTGTTAAAGTTTTCTTGTAACCTTAATAATACATGACAAACCAAAACATCAATGGAAGCGTTATCAACATAAGAACCAAAGAAATAGGTGATGTGATTTCTATGACCGCCACTGTATAAGATAATATCCCTCTCAACAGATAGTTTCTCTCAAGCTTTAAACTTAACTTGATGGAATGACAATTCTTTGCAGTAACCTCTAAGAAGTAAACTGAATCTATGTATCTTAATTTTATTGGTCTTTTGTACCTCAGCGAACAACCTGTAAGCACGTAATAACCTCCTCTTCCTCCCTCCCCCCTCCTCTCCTCTCTCGGAATGCTGACTGAACATCAACTGATAAGGACAGGAAGAGCAGCTGTGCGGTGCACTGCAGGTCTGGAGTGAGCTCCTAGTGGAAATAAATGGACGAGGGCTCCCTGCTGCAAGGAAAACATTTCATCTTTCTTTATGGCCACTCAACCAGCGCTGCCACCAGCTCCCATCTATCAATAACTGAGAAGTACCAATTCACTCCGATGCTTCATCTCTTACGTTAGGCTGATGGATAGGTTACTGTTTACTTGCGATTACAACTCATATTTACAATATTCTTTTTCTATACTTACGAATCCCGTTCTGCACTAATCTATTCTATAGTAAACAAAAACATATTAATTTTTTTTTTAAATTGCAGCTTTTAAATCACTCTATCCACATTAAAACATCAGAAAGATTATTAACTGAATCAAGGAAATAAAATGGATACTTTTGGCCTTCTCAGCATTTGTAATATTTATATAAAGTAGCAATTCTGGACAGAAAAGGGTCGTTTTTGATTCGGTAAAGAAGTTTAACTAGTATTGCCCAAATGCGAGACCGAGACGAGTCTTGGTCTTGCAAACTGAGTCTTGTTCATGGTCTTGGTCTTGCCCTATGGTCTTGGTCGCAACAGTCTTGCAGTTACTTATTAGCTTATTACTATAGAGATATTACTGTAATTTTTTAGATAGAAGAAAACTAACTAGGAGAAGTACATTCCGCACATCCATATGTACGAATGAAAAATTATAGGAGTTAAATTCAAAAGTATTTTGGTTATACCAATTATTAAAATATAGTAAATAAGATTGTAAAGTATTAGTAACTATTTTGCCTTAATTTTTAATCAAAAAATCAATTTTTTTACCAGTCCTGGTCTTGGTCTTGCAACAGTTAGGCGGCATTTGTCAACACTTGGATTTTGCATTGGGCAACACTAAGTGTAACACAAACTCCATAAGGCTGTTTAGTTTTTGTTTCATGGCGGTCATTTAATATGTGTGGAATCAAGCTTTTTTACCTTTCCAATCGCCTTGAGGTGGTCATCGACGGTCGATTTGCTAAGGCTATGTTTCCGTGCAAGTTTTCTAACAGTTGTTCTGGGGTTTTCTTCCACCAAAGCCCGCAGAACATCGCCATCAATAGAGTAAGTCCTTCCACGACCTTCTTTGTCTTCGAGGCTGAAGTTGAACAGTGCACTCATTAATGCTGTTCTCGCCCAAGACTTGATTGATGTTTCTAGCCGTCTGGGCCCATTCCGGCTAAACTCGTAAAACTTAATTATACGAAAATCAAGCATTGACATCTTAGTAAAGATTGAATTATTTCTAAGAAGCAAAATGCTACAGGGTAAACAAACATTATCGTTTGGAAGAGGATTAATAAGTGTTGACAATCATACAAATGAATAATCCAATAAACGTAAACAATTTGTTATATAGAGGGGTATTTTCAAGAAAACTCGAAATCCTGCATTATTTTCCGGACAACCCAATAAATGTCCTCAGGAGAAAGGGATTCTACCGCGGGTCATCTCAGAAAAGGTGATAACTGTTATCTTGTCTTATGTACGCATTGTACCGAACTCGAAAAATTGAGAAAGAGCTCATTTAGATTAAAAAAAAGAAGCTATAATAAGATTCACATTGGTCGTGATGTTGAAGAATATCCCGTCTCTGATTACAATTATAATAAGCTCCCATAACTTACCTGCTCATTAATTAATAAAGACATCAGCTACCGTAGATTTATAAAATCTTCAGTCCGTACCTCACGAACATATTCAAGTAACTCTTTCACCAGGCATGTAACATGTTGTAACATTGTTTGGCCAGAAAGGCAATGTTTTTTGAAGTGCAAGGGGGAGCTGGACACGAGACACGTCGCTACTAAACGAGTTAGGACGGTCGATGAAGGGACAGAACCATTAATGATGTTAAGTCGGCCTCAATGGCACTAATCAATAGCTCCCCCCAACCTAAACCAAATTGGATCGCTAAGCCTCCTCCTCTCTGGAAAAACCTCCTCCGTCCAAACTTTCCTATCTTCAGGTATTGTAAACAATTATCACCATAAAAGAAGGGCGGAATTCTTAATTCAATGCCCCTTTGTCATAGATGATTCCACCCAAATTGGTCCCAAATGTTAAATCAACAAGGTGAAATAAAGAGATAGTTATAGTTGGAATATAGTTATAACATCTCGGAATAGACCGATCAGAAGCTCTCTAGATATCCCTCATTGTTCTCTCAATAACCATTTCATGTTTTGAAGATTGCCAAAATACTGTTAGATGATGGTTTTAGTATATTAGGTCCCTTTTAAAAGTTATTTTCATATTTTTTAAATACATATTTAAGCAATTATAAATACATAAGATATATTAAAGCAATTCCCAATTCTGAAAGTTAATTAAACATTTTCATTCCTCGTTGAAAGGGCATTATATCGTTCCTAAATAAAACTGAGGGCGGGTATTCAAATTGTTTTTCTTAGATAAATTTGTAAACAGTAGACTAGTTGCTTCAGGAAGTAATACTCGTTCATCTTCCCTACGCAGTCATGGCTTTACCACGACGGATTTCCTCTTTCTTGGTCCAATCATGAATGTATAATAAATCCAATAATAAATTTAATGGAAATTGGAAAACAGAGAATTGTCCTAAATAAGCCCAGCAGCGTTTCATTCAACAAATAAACAAATTAATGTTGATTCATTGCAAAAGAAATATTATCACCACTTCATTTAAATTTGTTATTTCAGAAGGTTCCTAATCCATCAAAGCTAGACCGAGATGTTCCATAAATCCTGTATTCCATACCAACCGCGTGTTCGGCGACAGCCCTCACTGCCACTGTTATCACCATCTGCTAACCAGTGCAGCTAACAGATCCACTCCTCATGTATAATGCAGGAGCCATGGACACCCTATCGTACAAGGAGGTACAGGACTATCAATAAGCCCTTTCTTATCAGCAGATGTAAGCAACATGGAGGTCGTTATAAATATCACTTGCAAAAAAAATAACATTGATATAAAAAATAAAGGACATATGGAACATTATGGTGCGGTGTCAGTTGTATTGATGGAATCAAATCTCCTAACACTTCGTAAAATGGATTTATATCTTTACGTGAGATATTAACTATTATATTGTTGAGGATTTGTTGGAAAAATAACTTATAGATTGGCCTCAAATCGTCATACAACGAACAGAATTCAGGAGAAAATTTTTTTTTCTATTCTAAATAACTGGGCATTTATTTATTTATTTAATGCAGAAATAGATTTAATTAAGAAACAATCATTATAATGTATTTTTTTAAATTTAATTTTAATTCAAAACATGCTAAACGCAACACCTAGTACCATTTTAAAAATAGTGATTACTAATCTGTTGTAAAATAAGTTATAAAATTCTTATAATTATAATTGCACCATAATACTTTGGAAGATTAGGGAATGTTGAAGGATAATAGTATCTAGCGTTTCGTTTTTTCTTTCGTTATCTCATCTGATTTTCAAAAAATATTTAAAAATCGCGATATCTCTACTAATAGTGCTTCGATTTCGATGAAACTTCTTTTGTTTTTTAGGCAATTTAAATACCTTTGAAACATCTTATCACAACATTCCCAAAAAAGTGTATACTTTTTGAGTTATTCAGAATTTAATTTTACCATCCCTCGTAACTTTTTTTCAGCTTCTTTTCGCTGATGAATGTTATATAGATAAATTTGAAGGGTGTCGAGAAAATGACTTTAGCGAAGTTTCAATGAAATCGGTACATTCGTTTAGGCGCTACAGTCTATAGCTACGTTTCTATGTATTTTTATTTTTTTTCTCTTTTATTAACTTATCAAATTCTTTCAAAAGTTATATTTAGCATTTTTTTGTAACTCTGAATAATGTGAAATAATTATCTTTTTAAAATAAACCATATTAAAGGTACTTTAGAGGAAGACGTATATGAACATTGGGCATTTAAGCCCTGTAAAGTGACATCAATGGGGATAAGACCTAATTTATATTAAATACCACTTAATTATACAATGATACACCGAGTTTTATCAAAATCGTTAGAGCCGTTTTTGAGAAAACTGTGAAAATGTGTTTCAGCGTTGATATAAAGTGGCACTTCCGGTTAGCCGATTTTAAGGAAAAAGTTGCCATCACAACTAAGACATATACCTATGTTAAATACGTAATATCAGTTTCATAGGACTTTTCGTTTTTGAGCTAGACTGCTAACATACAAACACACAGACACACAGACCATTTTTCGGGACTTGGTCATTTCGACTCAGGGTACCTCAAAACGTATAAATCCGTTGAAAACTCAGATTCAAACATTTTCTCGATCGCAATACTTACACTTACTATATATTACATACATACGTAAGTGAAAGTAAAAAATGATGCAATACTGCCCAAGTACGGTATAAATAAATAATCCTAGTTCCTGACTTCTTTCGATCCGCCAAAGTGACCTTCACTAGTTCAAATCGGATTCCGATGTATTTTCTATATTAGTAATCTACCTAACATATAACTCCACTATCATATAATGTAGGGTTATAGATTTTTTAGATTTAAGGATTGTTTTTGTAGATCAACCTCTTATTATATTAAATAATGGTGAAGAAATAATAGGCAGTAGATTCTCACAAGAGAAGTTGGATGGGGTTGGTTTTATTCATTAAAAGAAAAAAAAGAAAATTTTCTGCCAAAGTTGTGCCGGAATTTTCAGGTCTCATCAGGGCTAACCATAGACGAGATAACAAATAAATATTGGAAAATAACTAAATAAGTATAACATATTTTTTACAGAAACCTAATTAATTATTTTTTCACTTTATATTTGTTTTCTTGTATTTCCTTAGCCCTGATGAAGGCCTGAAACATAGGCAAAAACTCGGCATGAAAAATTTGTATATAGTGTACAGCTGAATAAACGAAGAGATTTAAAAGAGAAGAAAGATAAACTATCGAACTAAAATATACAACTATTAGTATTAGAAAAAAAAAAACATTCTTAACTATAAGAGGTAATAAAAAAGTTGCATTTCATAAGACTGATGATGCATATATATTCAAATTTCCTATATATTCCTTATTTTCTCAATCTCATAACTTATTCACGAGTATTAGTGGTCTTGGGTATTTTGTAAACAGCCTTATTTTTTTGTTTTCAATGGTTATTTTGGGATGAGAAATTTCCTTTTTTTTTCCTCTTCCGTAGATCCGGCAGTGCTGTGCATAAACTAGATATTAGCTTGTCAACCGATTTGTCCTATAAATCCTGGTCTTTCGAGAAAA